GAAAATTCAATGAGGTGAGAAAAGAGGTGAGATCTCACCTCTTCACCTAAACATTATTTTTGGGTCATTTACACTCATTACGATGAAGAAGTCTTGACAAAACATATACGAAGAAATCATGAAAATTCAATGAGGTGAGAAAAGAGGTGAGAAAAGAGGTGAGATCTCACCTCTTCACCTAAACATTATTTTTGGGTCATTTACGCTCATTACGATGAAATCATGACAAAACATATACGAAGAAGTCATGACAAAACATATACGAAGAAATCTTGACAAAACATTTACGTAAACATTTATTTCCTGTGTTGTTGTCTAAATGTCATGTTGTCTCATTTTTTCAGAGAAGTTAAATAACCTGGTGACATGGTGACATAGTGACACCTTCAGTTATTCAAAAATAATTCATAAATGCCTTCCTCATTAATCCTGTTGTGTTGTTGTCTAAATGTCATGTTGTCTCATTTTTTCAGAGAAGTTAAATAACCTGGTGACATGGTGACATAGTGACACCTTCAGTTATTCAAAAATAATTCATAAATGCCTTCCTCATTAATCCTGTTGTGTTGTTGTCTAAATGTCATGTTGTCTCATTTTTTCAGAGAAGTTAAATAACCTGGTGACATGGTGACATAGTGACACCTTCAGTTCTTCAAAAATAATTAATTATTGAATAACCTGAAAACATGAACGTAAACATTATTTTTGGATCATTTACGCTCATTACGATGAAGTCATGACAAAACATTTACGATGAAACTTGACAAAACATATACGATGAAATCATGACAAAACATTTACGTTCATTACGATGAAGTCATGACAAAGCATATACGATAAAATCATGACAAAACATATACGATAAAATATATTTCCTGGACTGTTGTCAAAATGTCATGTTGTCAGTAATTTTAAGAGAAGTTAATTAACCTGGTGACATGGTGACGTAGTGACACCTAAAAACCATCTACCCTAAACATTATTTTTGCTGAATTCAGCAACAAAATGAACGAGGTCAGGATGTATGCAAATACCTTTGAATTCATTCATAACGCCTTAGTAAGATCATAAAATGCTTGTTTTTACATTCTCTACTGTATCTTCGAGTTCTTCTTCATCTAACTTCTCATGAACTTTCTTATCTATGGAGTCCATAATATCTTTGACATAAAATGCATACTTTACAGAGCACCATTCAGCAACAAAATGAACGAGGTCAGGATGTATGCAAATACCTTTGAATTCATTCATAACGCCTTAGTAAGATCATAAAATGTTTGTTTTGAGGTCGAGCCACTTTTGGCTTGACCGTATTCTTTCAACCAAAACTCAAGAATTTTCCTGTGTGAATTTTGTATAAAAAGCAACCGTCTGAATTCAGGTGGTTGTTATATTCTTCACAAAACATTTACGATGAAGTCATGACAAAACATATACGATGAAGTCATGACAAAGCATATACGATGAAACCTTGACAAAACATATACGTTCATTACGAAGAAGTCATGACAAAACATATACGATGAAGAAGTCATGACAAAACATATACGAAGAAGTCATGACAAAACATATACGATGAAGTCATGACAAAACATTTACGATGAAGTCTATGAACATAATAATATTTCAAACCAGGAGCCAAATTCTTGCGATTTTCATATGGAATCTCTTCTCTCGGTTTTTCGAGGGAAACAATCATATGAAATCATTTACACTCATTACGAAGAAGTTTTGACAAAACATATACGAAGAAGTTTTGACAAAACATATACGAAGAAGTCATGACAAAGCATATACGAAGAAGTCATGACAAAGCATATACGTTCATGTTTGACAAAACATATACGATGAAATCATGACAAAACATTTACGATGAAGAAGTCTTGACAAAGCATATACGATGAAGTTTTGACAAATCATTTACGGTTAAGTTCCATGAGGTCATAACAAAGCATTTACTATGAAGTTTTGACAAAACATATACGATGAAGTTTTGACAAAGCATTTACGTTTAGTTTCGATGCAGTTAGTGTCTATGTTATACAGTAATGTTAGTCATGAATGTTTGTCCTAAGTGTTGGTGTTAGTGTTGAAAAATAATGTTTGTCCTACATGAACCCGTACAAGCGTTTTTGAATTTGTTTATGAATAAAATTACACTCTTGTTTTCTGTATCTATCATACAAACATAAGCAGCACCTGTTTTTGTAAAGTTTATATGAAGTTTTCGATAGTTAAGACCTGTATAATAATAGAATGCGTCCTCATTCTCAACATAGTAGTAGAACTCAAACGAATGCTTACCATAATCTGTTATTTCAACAGCTTCGTCAGATATTTCATCAACGAACTCATAAACTATATCGCCATACTTGCTTTTATTTTCTATTGTTTTCAGATCTAGACACACCAACGAAGGTTTGAGATTCTGTTGTCCGTTCTATCATGATTTATATGGTCTATTTCTTTCAAATTGTTTGTATTTTCAATCCACTGTTCTGCAATAATTCTATGCTTTAAGTACATTTTGTTTGTTTAAAACTAAGCACAATAATAACCATAATTTATTAAGTATTCACTCATAATATGTTTGTCTTTCTTTCGACGAATAGTAAAAGGATATGTCGTACAAATCTCATAATCTTCATGATTTCTCAATGTTTCCCATTGAGTTTGTTCCCCACTAACGTTCTCATTGACGTCCTCAATATCTTCTTCCTCACTGAACTCGTCAATATTTTCACTAGCTCCTTCTGTAATGTTTTCATCGGCATTGTCATTGACTTCTTCTGTAATGTTAGATGTTGTTGTTTCGCTCATGTTCTTTCACTAATGTTAAAAAGTTATGTTGTACGAATTTTGAACAGAATTTAGAGCAGTTATGAAACAATGAAGTACTTTTACGCTATTGAAAGGAACTATGAGAGTGAAGTACATGACAGCAATGACAAAAGGAACTAATATCAAACCTAATGAAATCGCTCACGAGGACATAGAGCTTAACAAGTACTTTGTGGAGTATCTTATAAGTGAAGAGTATGTAAGACCTTACTTCATGTTTGACAGCATGAATGAGGATGTTATTTCATGGTTAAAGAATATAAGCAATGTTTTCGGTAAGTACGTCATAGATGACAAAGGTCTTGTTGTATTTTATGAGACAGCAATACGAACACAGGAACTAATGGATATTATGCACTCAACAGCAAAGAAAGGATTTAGTACTATTGGCATGAATGAACATTGCAGGAATGACATATACAACCTATGCTCACGAAAGCCTTACACAAAAGCAATACAAATGATAGAACATAAGTGTCTAAGGTCAGCAAATGAAATCATTACTGTCAGTGGTTATGAAAGAACTGTTAGCAAAGATGAGTGGAAACAGCTATTCATATTAAGGAAGGACGTTGCTGAACTAGTTAAACCTGTTGCACAAACATTGTTTCAGATAAGACCAGCAATGACTAAGAACCCTTTGACCTTAGTCAATGAGACCATAGAGGTTGAAGATAATGACATGAAAGAACTAGGAATGAATGAGAGAAGTTGTGAAGGATGTTTGAGTCAAAACACATGGTTCTTCAGAGCTGTTAAGAAACTTAGTAAAGAACGACAGAAATATTTTATAGAGAAGTATTGCAAAGGATGTGTAAATGAATTGCTTGAAATAGAACTTAGAGACACTTTCACACTAAAGGACTTGAGGAAGAAATAAGTACATGAGTGAGGACGGTATTGACATAGCTAGTGTTATAAATGACTTAAGAAGATGTGTTGTCGTTATTGACGGAGCACGTATGACATATCTAGTGAAAGATTATGATGGAATACGAGACACAACAACACTTGTGTCAGTAGATAGCAAGGAATTCAATAAGCTCATGAAGAGTGTTTATGTAGGACGTATTGAGGAGAAGGATGTGAACGCACTGATGATTTATGAAGCGGGTCAGAACAAGAACTATCTTATGAAGTCAGGCATGAGATTCTTTGACGAAAGAGATGACATTTACAGCTATTTCAGAGGATATGAGTATGAGGTACTGAATGAAGTAGATGAAAGCGTTATTGAAGGATATTTGAAACATGTTCACGATGTCATATGTAATGAGGATGAAGAGCTTTATGAGTATGTTTTGAACTGGTTCGCCTACATCGTTCAAAATCCTTGTGGAAAGACTGGAACAGTACTTTTGTTAATAGGAAAGCAAGGAACTGGTAAGAATGTACTTAGTAATGTTCTATGCGAGCTCATTAGCAAGTACGCCAACAATAATATAACGGCAATAGAGAATGTGGTTGGTAGATTCAATGCTGCTATTGAGAACATGAAGCTCATCGTATGCAATGAACTAAGCTCATGCGATACGTCTAAGGTCATGAACCACGACGCACTAAAGTCAATAGTAACAGAGACTCAGTTGGACTTAAATCAGAAGTGTCAGCCAGTAAGAAAGATAGAGAATGTTTGTAATATCATCATGATATCTAACAACTTCAACTCAGTAAAGATTGACAAAGACGACAGAAGATTTGTTGTCATTGACGTAAGCAGCAGATACAAAGGAAATTACGAATATTTCTCAAATCTCATTGAAAGCTTTAATGAAGAGTTTTATTCAAACTTACTGACGTACTTCATGAAGAAAGATTTAAGTGAATTTGATGTAAGGAAGATACCATTCACCAGGGCTAAACAAGAACTCATCGAAATGAACAAAACACCTTACCAAATGTTTTACGAGGAGTTCTATGAAAAGTTTGTATCCGGATGGAATTGTACAGAGTGCTACAGAAGATATAAAGAATTTGCGAAGGAGAATGAATTCTTTGCATGTAGTTCAAATGTATTTGGTGGCAAGATGAGAGAATTTGTGAAGAGAAGTAGAAAGCGAGACGGTTCTGCAAGAAGTTATATTTACGAAGCAAGTATGATATTAGAAGGTCGTGGAAAGAAAGAAACAGTGAATTATGAGGAAGTGCTTGAAAAATTCATGGAGTACATGGGAAGCAATATAACATACAACAAAGACATATACAGTGAGTTTAAGTACTACTGTGAACAGCATGAGATTGAAGTAATGAGTAAAGGAGACTTTGAAACGCTTATGAAAGACAGTGAGGAGGTCATACATGAGAACAGTGATGAAATAGTTCATGAGAACAGTGAGGAGGTCATACATGAGAACAGTGATGAAATAGTTCATGAGAACAGTGAGGAGGTCGTTCATGAGAACAGTGATGAAATAGTTCATGATGTCGTTCGTGAAGAAGCCATTGCAACAAAGAATGAGATAAAGGATTTCATAGAACTTAACAAGGAGGAGTTTAAAGAAGGCTATGAAGTGAAAAGATGTGAAGAAGATTTCTTGGCGTATTTGAAGAAAAAGAGACTAAAGCCAATGGCTCAAAATAAGTTTCAATCGATGTTTGAAAAGAAACGTTTGAGCTATGGTGGTGTAAGAAGCACATATTACTTTGTTAAGAAGTGAGGACATTTATTTTTGTCGTTAGTGTTGGAGTTTGTGTTTGTTGTTAGTGAGAGAATAAATTAAATCATGAACTTTGCCATGGTCTCTGTCCCTAGTAGTTTTCATTAAGTTCTGGAAATAATGAAAGTCATAAACTTTGCCATGGTCTCTGTCCCTAGTAGTTTTCATTATCTCACAGAGTTAATGAAAGTCATACTTTCTATCAGATGAAGCATGCAGATGAACATAATGAAAGTTAGTGAGTTTGCCACGAGTTATGAATAAAATATTGGCATATTAGATGAGATAGCTGATGAAACAGATGAAGATAAATTAAATCTTGGACTTTGCCACACTCTGTCCCTAGTTCCTCAAAATCCTTGACAACGTTGCTTAGAAATTTTGGTTCAAAACCTCATCTGATTTTAATCTGTTATGCTACCTGTTAAGTTTCGCGAGATTATAAATGTCATGGAGTTATATAAAAAGGAGGGACAGCTAGGGACACTGGAAGTACTTGTAAGGCTATCTGTTAAGATTGCATGAAATACTAAAAGTCATGAAATCCATTATCGCTGTGCTATCTTCACCTTAGAGTAAAATGACAAATAAAGTCACTGAAGCAATGAAACAAAAGTTTTGGTAGAATACATTAAATCAGGAGCGGTTCCAGAAGGTTTTTACATTCATACTATGAAGGATGGTAGAGTTCAGTTTAGAAAGATAAAGCAACCATTAGATAAAGAAGGAATTTTGAGAAAGATTAAACTTCATGAGGACAACATTACTAAACTTAGGAAGAAGCTAGAAGAGTTGGATAAAGGAAGAGAGTTATAAAGCAATGAATTCAACAGGGTGAAAAAACAGGTGAAAAAAGAGGTGAGATCTCACCACTTCACCTATATTTATTTTTGTGCTATGTTTTCATACGTGTGAGGGTGGTGATATCATTTATTTTTTATTTTATTTTTATATAAATGACGAAAACTATTGAGATAACAAACTACCACGGTCATGAGTTCAAGAATTTGTTCTTCGTTCCTCGTGAAAATACATTCTATCAGATACGAGGGAGAAAAGGTAAAGTTAGTTTGAGCGTTTATGAGTACAAGCATAATGGAAAGTATATACAAGCATATGATACAAACGGTAAGCGTGTTTCATTAGCTTTGTCAAAACTTACTAACATTTATTTTGACAGTGACTTTGACCTATATGAAGAAGAAAGTGAGTCAGAAGATTATGAGCTGTTATGTGAAGCACAGCAATGGGAGGAGTTGCAATACTTTTGTAAGTGAGAACGTTTATTTTTTACAGTAGTGAAGTCGTTTGTGAAAACGTTAGTGAGGTGAAGTGGTTGGCGGCTTTGTAAATATTTAAGGTTAAGTTAGTGTTGTTGTTTGTGTTGTAAAATATACGTTAACGGTTTTGTAAAGTGCCAAACCGTTATCTTGGGTAAGGTGGAACGCAGTGCCGCCGTACCCAAGATAGGTATACTAACTGCAGGAGCCCCAAGGCTCCCAATCATTACGAAAGGGAGCCTTGGGGCTCCTGAGAATCCATCAGCAGAGGCCTTTTTATTTGGCCTCTGCTGATCAAAGATTCGGCGAAGCCATTCTTCGTCTCAGGAGCCCCAAGGCTCCCAATCATTACGAAAGGGAGCCTCAGGGCTCCTGAGAAACCTCTTTGAGAAGGTTTTCTTAAAGAAAACCTTCTCAAAGATGATTGTCAGCATTCACTCAAAATCTACCAAGAGTTTCAAAGTTTCAAATCTATCTGAAATGAAGCTTTGAATCTCTTGTATATCTAATTGTAGAGGTACCTTTTCAAAATGTCTTCTATTGATTAAATTTAATCAGTAAAAGTCATTTTGAAAAGGTACATCTCTATAATTGCTATTGAGCATTCACTCTTGGAACCTTGGAGCTCTTGTGTAGTGCATGAAAACTCCAAGATTCTAGCATAAAACATATATCATAGACATAATTTCTTCAAATATAATTTAAGGTTATTTTTAAAATGAGAAAAGCGTAATTTAAGGTTATTGAAAAGTGACACTTGGCAAATTTGTCCCGCACTCTATGTAAATAAAAATAATTAAATATATGTATTTATTCGTATTACAACCGTAGTAAAAAAAAAAAAAAAAAAAAAAAAAAAAAAAGGCAGTGGGGCTTCCAGGCACTTCGTGCCTTCTAGCCCTGAGGATGAATGAGTATAAATGAAGTCTCAACAAAGTCTTTACGAAGAAGTCTCAACAAAGTCTTTACGAAGAAGTCTTGACAAAACATTTACAAAGAAGTCTTTACAAAGTCTTTACAAAGTCTTTACAAAGTCTTTACGAAGAACTTTACAAAACATAGACAAGAAAGTCTTTACGAAGAAGTCTTGACAAAGTCTTTACAAAACATAGACAAGAAAGTTCATGAGAAATTAGATGAAGAAGTCTCAACAAAACATAGACAATGAGCGTAAATGACCCAAAAATATATTTTAGGGTAGAAGGGTATATCTACCCTAAAATATATTTTTGGGTCATTTACGAAGAAATCTCAACAAAGTCTTTACGAAGAAGTCACAATAAAACATCTGTCAAAAACCGCTTTTTAACTTCACTTAAAATGCCACGTAAGCTACGTAAGAATATACGTAAGAGGAAGAGAGCATTGAAACATCCAATAGTAAAACTGACACCACAACAACAGTTGCAACAACAAATAATGAATGACCCCACTATGTTGCAACAAATGTCAAGCAATCCTATGCTTTTAAACCGAGTTGTTGGTGCACAGAGTGGAGGTTTAAGAGCGGCACTTTTAGCGAAAATGGCAGGCTATGGTGGAGCTGCAGACGGAACAGCATATAACCCTCAAAGTCAAATGAATTTGAGTTTACTCAAAAATCAAATATCAGATGTCAAAAAGTCAAACATAGACATACAGAAGCAAATAGGTGAAACGAAAAGAAACTAGAATATGACAGACACACAAAGAAACTCAATGAGTTAAACGTAGAGAAAAAGAAGAAAGAAGAACAACTGAAAGAACTAAGTACAGAGGAATATGCGAAAAAAGTGTCAGAAAAAGCAACAGAAGTAGCAAAAATGGAACAAGATGTCATAAATTTGAAAAACCATACTACTCGATATAAAGTACTGAAAGATGAAGAGATAAAACAAAAAGCCCTGAAGACATATATGGATAGCGATGAGTATAAAAAAGAAGTTGAAGCAAATGTAAAGGCAGAAAAACTTTTACAGTTGCAAAACCAAACCGTACAGTATGAAAACTTAGCACAAGAAAGTAAAAATAACGACGCAGCCATGCAAAAGGCAATGAAAAGCGCAGAATATATAAAAGCTAACAATGACTGGTTAGATGCCCAAGCCAACGCTAAAGCAGCCCAACTCATAGGGTCAATAAGGACAAAAATACAAGCGGATGAAGACAGTTCAAATGAAGCTTTAACAAATGCTGACTTTAAGAACGCCTTCGAAGCTCTTCATAGTAAGGTGAAACTAGTGAACGACTTCTCATCTGGAAAGAAACTGAAGTCTGAAGGTTTCGACAAAGAGTTAAAAGAAGTAGCACAAAATATGACGAAAATAACAGATGCAGCAACGAGACAGGCAGTTCAAAGTGCCTATGACGCTGTTAGAGCAACTGTTGTGAAAAGTCAAGAAAAAGAGTTACAACAGACCAAAACAGACCTAGTAAATGCTTTCTTAAGAACGAAAAGTCAGGTAGGACATTACGCTGCAGATGGAACATATGTGCCAGCTGGTGGAACTTATATACCAGCTGGTGGAACTTATATACTAGCTAGTGGAACTTATATACCACCAAACCCTCCAAGAGAAGCACCTGCACCAGGACTACCTAAAACATTTACATCGTCACATGGACACAGACACAGGCATGCACCAAAAACAACACAACAACCAACACAACAACCAACAGTTCAAAACCCTGCACAACAACCACCTCCACAACCAGCACAACAACCACCTCCACAACCAGCACAACAACCACCTCCACAACCAGCACAACAACCACCTCCACAACCAGCACAACAACCACAAACAGAGCAAGGACATAAAAGAAGTAGAGAACAAGGAAACCAAGAATTCTTAAAAATGCTTAAAGAAGACTATGGTTACCCAGATACTATTGACTTTAGTGACAGATATAAAGAAGCTATTAGAAAGTTCAAGGATGGAAATACTGACCCGAACCTATTTAGCTTTATGACTCAGCACCAAATCGGATATAATTTCAAACCTGGAAAATACAAGCTCGCAAAGGGATATGATTTAATAGCATATCATCCAAATGACATGAACGAATTTACTCCGAGATATTTGGTGTCAGAGATAAATGATAAAGATAATTCAACTATCTTCATGAAACGCGTAAAAAATAGAGACGGAACGAAAGAACAAAGGCTTATGAATGCGGATGACTTAAATAGGGAACTTGTTGAAAACGGTCTCGGAATATATGAAATGCCAGCAGATGAGGTACAAGAAACTCCACAGGAAGAACTAGTTCAGATACAACCAGACATGGAAGAAATAGTTCAGCAACAACAGCTAGAAGAGCCTGAAGGAAACGAACAAGTCCCTCCTTTGGAAACTAACTTCACAGAACTAGATGAAGATTTGGAACAGCCGAAAAATCTTGACCCTCAACAAGAGTATGCGGAGAATATGGAATCTTTCCAAGAGTCTAAGAAAAATTCGGCTGACATAGTAGAAGAATATCGAAAAATGTTCGCCGACATACAAAAGACTCCAACATCAGATGAAAATATTCAGCATAGAATGGAAGTACTGAAAGAAAGTGTACGCAAATACAACAATCCTTTTTACTTACGAGCATATAACGTTCAATCTTTGGATGAACTCGGTGAAAATAAAAGGTTAAATTTCAACAAAACATATAGAAATGAAACATTGTTTAAAGTTCATTCAGAACCTAACCAATATGGAAACAAACCTACTTTTGTTTCTGCAGACTATGGAACTACAATGAGATGGGGTCATAAAGCTAATCCAGATAGGTGGTTCATAAACTTACAACCACAATTCCAAGAAGTTGTAGACGCAATGGAAGTCAATGGTGAACCAGATATAGCTGGTATTTTCAGCGCGGCTTTAATGCCATTGAAAGATATGAAAGATGCAGATATTTTGAACCAGTATGAAATGAACATGGCTGATGGAAATATAACACCTGACGTTCTAGAACATTTATCTCAAAGAACTACACAGAACCATAGAGATGGTATATTTGGTGAAGAGTTTAGAAAGAAAGTTAGGGAGGAGAAGGAAGAGAAACCTATTGTACATGACCTTGCAAACGAAAGTTTACAAAAATGTCATAAAAACTTACTTTGCAGACAATGAACCGAGAAGGGATGAATATTTAAGAAAACTCAAATGGACAGTACCAAATGAAATGTTAGTATTGAAAAACATGTTCCTTGACAAAATAAAACCAACTACAGAAATAAACGACGCCAAGACTGAAAGATTGGGTAAAAGCTTTCCCATTCACAAAAGATATAGTTGGTAACATGGAAAGAAAACCAGAATGGCTACAAAAACATATATTTGGAAACGAGCTTATTCCATATGGACAAGCTCTGTTTGAAGAGCTTGAACCAGAAACTCAGGAAAGAGTCATGCAAACAATACGCAAAGACTCAAATACAGACTATGACAAACTCTTTCTAGGATATAGGTTACCTGAGATGGGCGACCAGAGCCAAAAGGCAAAAAGGACATGGGAAATTTGCAACATACTAGATGAACATAATGCAAAGATGCAACAACTTCAAGCAGAGGGCAATGAAGGAAAAGAAGAGTTAAAAACTCAGTCAGGAAGAAAGTAAAGCTTGGTCCACGTGGGTTCTATTATGACATATAAATCCAACTATTTCTATATTTTTACTCATATGAAATGTACGCCGCTCAGAATATAACGCCAACAGTTTTGGATGCTATGAATGGAAATGTTTCCGAATGGTATAACGAATGCGACAATGCCATTAGAAGGTCAGAAATAGTTCCTGGAACTTACGAATATACAACTGCTGTTTCTTATGGAAACGTAGGTGAGTTTGGAGAAGGTTCTTCAACAACAGTAGATATTGCTTGCGACAGGTTTCATATAATTTCTATTGACAACTCTTTCTTATACGTGGAACAAGACATTGAAATAAAACCTTCTGCCAAGTTGTCTGACAAGAAAGGTTGCAATGGAATTTTCTATGTCGGATACCAATATGCTCCAGAAGTTTTCATGGGATATAAGATATATTCTAACTCTGACTTAGTTCAAACAGTAACATGGGCAAACTATGAATGGTTCGCTTTGAGAAACTCAGTACAACCACAAGCTAGAGAACAAACAGACCAGTATGCAACTATTGAGAAAATAAGAAGACTTGACCCTAACGTTCCAGGAGTTTATGTTAACCTTTCTGGACAAACTGCAGCAGCAGTAACCAAAGTAAAACTGAAACTTAGAGTTCCTTTGTCATCTTTCCTCATCTTCAGGTTTTTAAGATACTTGCCAAACTGGGCAGGAAAAATTTCTATCGAACTTACTCCAAGCAAAAATAACTTAGTCATTGCACCAACACAAGACCCATTCACTCTTACAGAAGTAGTGGGAACAAATAAAATGTCATTCGCCGACTTTTGCAAAAACAAAGTTGACTTAGACTTTGGTTTCTCAAACCTCAACACTGAAGTAAACTATTATTTCAATGCTGCTGGAGATGCTTGGGACCCAGTTAAGTTCACATGCGAACAGTTTGAATGCAAGAGAATAGAAAGCAGACTTGCAGTCTATATGTTGGACCCAGATATTTCAAATGCTTTAGCTGCCAAATATATTGCAGTTCCACTTATGTTCCCTATACACCAAATATCTGTCAAAGACTTTGCAGGTGAAGTTGGAAACCAAAGTGCTGACCCAGGTGCAAGAACAGATATTGCCTTAACAACTGCAATGAAACATGCAGATACTATGTTTGTACTGTTCAGACGAACTATAAATGACTATTCTTGTTTCTACAACCCTGGTATTAAATATCATATAAACATAGATGGCAAATATTATCCAAGAGAAGAATATTCTACAGTTGAGGATATGAGGTCATACAACTTGACATTAGATGCTATGAACTTTAACAACAACTTCACAACAACCATTAACCCTGAAATGCAAAGTTCTATTATGCCATATGTGAAAGTATGGACCCATACAGGAGCTCAAAACACTCAATATACAAATGGAGACCGTTCAAACTTTTGGCTTGGCATTCCATTTGCTGACTCAGAAGACTTTATGGGTGGTATTTCAACTGTTGGTACAGTTCAAATACAATATACTGGTGACAGAGACGGTCCAAATGAATTGAAAGCAAAGAAGTTTACAAAACCAATAGCACTTTTCACGGAAGATGCTCTTTTGAAAATTCGTTCGATGAAACCTGCTGGGGCTCCTCAGATTGGTATAACGACAGCTTCCATCGAGCAGATTTTGGCAGCAGGTCAGTAAGTTGTTCTTGAACTGACTTCTCTCCGTCAAATATTGACAGTACGCCAGTTTTGACATAAAATTGTAAGATAAACTTTCCTTTAGAAATATCGGTCAGTTTTGTTGTTATATTTTTGTCAACGTCAAGAACTTTCACCATTTCAGTTATACCAACTTTCTTTGCTTTATGAAAATATTTTGGTTCAGCAAAGACTGCTATTCTATAACATTTTCCATTGTTTGTATAAAGAACTATTCTGTCAATGAACTTGTATTGTTTGTGAGTATAAACCTTGTTTTGCTTCAATTCGAAGAGATACTCAAATACGTCCATCTTTTTATTCTAAGTAAAATGTCATTTCCGAAAAATAGAAGCGTAAGTGTTTCAAAAGGTTTAATGGCGGTGGCAGATGTGAAGTTAAATTCACCAACTCAAACAAACAGTCAAAGTGTTGTTGTCAATGTCAAAGAAAGAGATGTTGAAGTGGGGAAACCATACGAAGACGAAAATGGTATAACAATAGTTCCTGTAAAAGAACAACCAACATACCCTGAAGTTAGCAGAGACTTAAGTTCTGTTGCAGATATTCGAAACGACTACCAACAACTTAAAGACAAACTTAAAACTCAGGAGAAGATTTGTCAGGCTTTGGGTATAATGTTAAACTTGGTCGAACACAACCCTGTAAAAGTGAACTCATATGTCATCGCACCTCATGAAATTTTGAAAGAACTATTGAAACTTTTGACAGAGGCAGACGATATAAACATTAAAGAAATAGAACCCGACGTTAGTTGCTGTGGTGTTTCATATAATGTCATTGACAAGATATACGTTATGAAAGGAGGTGAAACGTTGAACTTAAAATATAGTTTCCCAGACGTTATAAAAATATTTGACGACCACAACATTTCATTAAAATTTATTTGCTAAGTAAATGGCAGAAGACACAATGGTTTATACTATTACGACTAAAAACCCTGAGTCATATAATTCTATAACAACAAACTTACAAAGTCCTCAAGGACGATATTGTAAACTAACCTTAAACACAATGACGACTAAAGCCTGTTTTGCTCTTTTGACACCAGAAGATTTTATTGTTGTGAATGGTAAAAAATACTCCTTTGAAGATACTTACTCAGATATACCACCAACAGGTTTTGTTGACTTATTTAATACTTTAAGGACGGATGTAACATGTGCTGCAACTAGAGCAGGTTTCATTATGTTTGGATGTCCGACTGAGTTTACTATAAACGATATGAGCTATAATACAAAACTTATATCTGGTTTTTACTACCAACAGTTTCCTATAACAGGAAAAGGTGTCATACAAGGAATGTCTGTTCCATTGACTTTAAGTACACCAATCTTATATATTGTTTCAAACTTAGGTTCAAAGTGTTATTCGAATGTCGACAGAAACTACTATGACCAAAAGATACTCATGCGTATAAACAACACTTTCTCTGCTGGTTTGCCTATTGTTCATTCGAATGCAGAGTTTTCAGCTTTAGTAAACTCAAACACTTTAGCAAACATAAACTTAACCTTAGTTGACGCAAACTTTGTTCCTGTAAAACTTTTATGTCCTATGTATTTGTCAATGACGGCAGAAAGTTTCGAATTGGAAGATGCAACTGGTGAAAGTATTGTATTACAAGAACAACTTCAACAACAAATAGCTCAAGAAACAACAAATGCAACAAATGGAACAAATGCAACAACAAAGTCAAGAATAAAAAAATATTTTTTTTTATTTTATAAAAATGTACAGAATAGATGTTTTCAGATTTTTATGACTTCCAAGCGTTCAGAAATATGTGTCCATTTAGAGACTATAACAAAGCAGTCGAGAATTTGAAACGTTTAGTCATTTATGTTGACTCTCCCCAGAATGTTATGTCATGAAAGAATGGGATGTTGTCTTTAACAAACCAAGAGCAACAATAGTTTCAGAACAAGAATGTAGACAGAAACTTAAGAAAATAAAAGTCGTACAAGTTGGAATGAAGATGTTAGATGCTTGGGATATCTTATTGTCAAAACTTGAAGATTTTTCAGTTCGTGGTATAAAGTTCTATACACCTTCTCCAAACTTCTATTCTATCTTCACTGGATATAAATATGAACAAGTAGAATGGAAAGAAAATATTATAGAAGCTTGGTAGACCATGTCAAAGAAATTATATGCAATGGAAACGAAAAAGGTTTATGAGTATATCTTATGTTGGTTTGCAAACATCTTACAACATCCAAGTGCTAAAAATGAAACTGCTCTCATTATAATTGGAAAACAAGGAACAGGTAAGAACACATTCTTTACAGATATCTTATGCAAACTGTTAGAGGGCTATTCGAACCCGAATATGAAAACTTAGAAAACATCTGCGGTAAGTTTAACTTTCAATAGAGAATATGAAACTTATAGTATGTAACGAACTTCAAAGTATAGATACAACAAAGGTTTTAAACTCGGATGCTTTGAAGAGTCTTATAACAGACAAAGTTGGAGTTGTTGAAAGAAAATATAAAGACCAAAGAGTTTGTGAAAATGTTGCAAACTTCGTCATGGTTTCAAACAACGCCGTTCCGATGAAGTTAGAAAGTTCTGACAGAAGATATGTAGTTGTCAGAACGTCAGAAGCTCA